CCCGAGCTGTGCCTGCAGCCTGGCATGATGGATGGCAGGGCTCAGCTGGGAGCTGTTTAATTTGGGTGAAAGACACTGTGTGGGAAGCAGCCCTGCCTGAGCTCCAAGGTGTGTAGGAGCCAGCTCGGTTTCATCTCAGCTGATTCTAGCAGCAGAGCGTCGCTTTGGAGAAAAGCAAAATGCCAGGAGCTGTGGAGGGGGATGGAGGTCAGGACAAATCTCCCCATTCACTTTTGCAGGGATGAGAGAGCAGCAGTGAAGCTTTCAATGGGAGTTTTTCCATGAAAGGACTGTGAGAGATCTGGTGTGGTGCTGAAAGAGGAGATAACCTGCAGCCTGCCTGCCTTGGCCAGCTCACCAGGCTCATAGCCCTGCACCCTCACCTGGAGGAAGCCCTGAGGTTATTCCCAGCAAAGCCAGCAGTGTCCCCTGAGCATAAAATCACAGTTTGGTTTGAGTTGCAGAAGTCTTTTATAGGTTATTTAATCCCACTGCTGCCATGGGCTGGGACACCTTCCACCAGCCCAGGTGGCTGCAAGACCCATCCAGCCTGGCCTTGGGCACTTCCAGGGATCCAGGGGCAGCCAGAGCTACTCTGGGCACCAGAACAAGTTGTTGTTCAACACCAACCCACAAAAACCTGCCAGGGCCTTCCCACCCTCACAGGGAACAATTCCTTCCCAATATCCCATCCAACCCTGCCCTCTGGCAGTGGGAAGTCAGTCCCCTTGTTCTGTCACTCCCTTGCCCAAAGCCCATCTCCAACATCAGTTCTTCAAATTCCTTTGGAGAAGAAGAATTAAAGAGAACTTTACAGAACCCCATAACCCATAGATCTCTCCTTCTTTGCATGACTCCCCAAACATCTCAATTTCTGGTCCTTCTCCTCAAAATCCAGCAAAGCCATCAATATCCCCAAGAAAGACCTCCTGCTTCTCCCCAATACTTGGAGAGACCTCCTTGCTCCTGAGCATGTTCAGCCTGCCATGATGAGACAGCCCTTGGCACTGGTATTTCTGAGCACCCCCAAACCATCTGCTCTCCTTTCATCCCTCTTCTGGGTCCCTGTGAGGAGGAGGAGGCTCCAGCTGAGAGAAAGGGACAGGCCGCCCACTTGTGCTGAGTAACCATTGCCAAATTGGATGCCAGCACACACACACACACACACACACACACACATATTTCCACCAAGGCTGCTCTGAACAATGGTCCCTTGATGATTTGCTGTCTCAAACTCTTCTGCTTTTGGCCGTGCTCCATGGGGAACAGGCAGTTCAGCACTGCCCTTCACATCCATTGTGCCACGGGCAAGGAACAGGACACAGTGATCCCTGCCCTGGGAATTTGCAAGATGAAGGCTGGCACGTGGGCAAGGGCAGAGCTGGGTCCTCATCAGTGAAGGGGGAAAAATTCCTCCTCCTTCTCATCACCACTGGGCCTTCACTGCCCATTTGGAAAGCCTGGACACAACCCCAGCCCCACTTTGTAATCATCTTCCCAGATTTCCTTCAAACATTGCTGTAGTGTCTACAAACCCATGGGAAGAAGTTAGGGAATGCCCAGCCAAGGTTGGGCAGCCCATTTTTCCAAGGGTGTGACAGAGTAGTGACACCCTGAGTGGCACCAGAGTCACATCCTGATGATGTCCTACCTGGAAGGTGAGCACCAGTGATGGAGGAAGCACTGGGAGATGTGTGAACCCAGGAAATGGGGTGAACTGAGCAAAGTCCTGCTTGCACAAGGTGAGAACGAGTTCATGGTTCAGGGAGTGCAGAGATCAGAGCAGAGGGAAAAAGGACTTTTTGTTTCTGAGGTTCTCAGAAGCCAAATGTTTGATCTGATTATTATTTGTGATACTCAGAGGTCTTTGCCCAGCCCTGGATTCTCTGCCCTGCTGGTTCCTGCTTGCCTGGAGAGATCCTTCCAGAAGAGACCCCATCCATCCGCACGCAGCGATCCCGGCTTTTGCACCGTCTACAAATAGTTGGTGCATGCTGAAAAGAGCAGATCTGAAGCCACAGTTGGCAAATTGCACCAACAAGCATATTCCCAGCGAGGCATTGTTCCAGTTTGTATATGTCTGAAAAGAACTGTTCAGGCATATGTTAAAGTTGGCACCTTCTCCCGAGGACTCGCTGCAAGCTGACGGCTGGAGCATGATCACCACAGCAAGGCACACAAAACACTCAGCAAATAAGGGAAAACAGAGTCCACTCAGGGTTTGAGCAGGGCCAGGACGAGGATGAGGAGTGGGGGCAGAGTGCTGTCCCCTGGGGAGAGAGCTCATCCCACCCTGCCATAGGGAATCTGCAATGAATGGAGGGGGATTGGTGTTGAGGGGGAGAGTGAAAATCCTGCAGCAAATAAGGGAAAACAAAGTCCAAATTTGGAGTTTTAGAAGGGCCAGGGTGAAGATGAGGATGAGGATGCTGTCCTCTGGGGAGAGAACTCATCCCAGCCTGCCATAGGGAATCTGCTTTCTGCAATGAATGGAGGAGGATTGGTGTTGAGGGGGAGAGTGAAAATCCTGCACACAAAACACTCAGCAAATAAGGGAAAACGAAGTCCAAATTTGAGGTTTTAGAAGGGCCAGGATGAGGACGAGGAGTGGGGGCAGAGTGATGTCCCCTGGGGAGAGGGCTCATCCCAACCCACCACAGGGAATCTGCAAGCACTTGGAGGGATTGGAGTAAAGGAGGAGAGTGAAAATCCTGCACATAAAACACTCAGCAAATAAGGGAAAACAAAGTCCACTCAGGATCTGAGTAGGGCCAGGATGAAGATGAGGATGAGGATGTGGAGTGAGGGCAGAGTGCTGTCCCCTGGGGAGGGAGCTCATCCCACCCTGCCACAGGGAATCTGCAATGAATGGATGAATGGAGGGGGATTGCTGTAGAAGAGGAGAGTGAAAATCCTGCGCACAAAACACTCAGCAAATAAGGGAAAACAAAGTCCAGTTGGGATTTTAGCAGGGCCAGTAGGAGGATGAAGATGAGGAGAGGGGTCAGAGAGTTCATCCCAGCCTGCCATAGGGAATCTGCATCTGCAAGCACTTGGAGGAGTTGGAGTAAAGGAGGAGAGTGAAAATCCTGCACATAAAACACTCAGAAAATACGGGAAAACAGAGTCCACTTGGGATTTTAGCAAGGTTGGGATGAGGATGAGGATGAGGATGAGGATGAGGATGAGGATGAGGATGAGGAGAGGGGGCAGAGAGCTCATCCCAGCCTGCCACAGGGAATCTGCATCCATGGACAGCTGCAGCTGGGGACAGGGTTCTGGGCTGGCCTGGTGGAGCTGTAACACCATCAGAGCATCTCCTCTTTGCAGGGCTGGGTTAACTTTTGGACTCAGTGATCTTAGGGGCCTTTTCCAACCGAAATGATTCTGTGATTCTGATTCTCAGCTGCAAAACTGGACCTGCCCAACCTAGGAATGACCCATTTGGGTTGGGAGACTCATGCAGGCTCCCTCAGGGTGTCCAGGAGCACTGGAGTGCCCCTTTCAGAGGGCAGCTGGGGCTCATCTCCCATCAGGTTGGTGCTCAGTCCTGGAGGTGTGTGCTGGGGTGACAACTGGAGCAGGGCTCATCTGAAGCAGCACAAAAACCTCCATGAGCTTCCTGTAGGACACCTCCTACCCTTGCATGGTCCCCAAAAGAAGCAGCACTGCCAGGCTCAGAGCAGGTCAGACTGCCCAGGAAGGCCAGGACAGACCCCCCCCCAGGTTGTCCATGCAGGATTTGAATTGCTCCACAGCTTGGCAGTGCTGGTGGGAAGCAGCAGAGTCCCACCCACAGCAGAGGTGGCTTTGCCCAGCCTGTCTAATCCTGGTCCTCAGAGGCTGTAAGCAAATCAGGGAGCCTCAGCTGCCCTTTCCATCCCAGCAGGATCACACACAGCCCCTGGAGCTCTGTCAGCAACAACCTGTGCAGGGAGATTCTCACAGCCTGAGGTTCTGGGGGAGCAGCCGAGGGCCTGGCCAGCACCATTAGCAGCAATAATTAATTACCTGCTCTGCTGTTTCACTGGAAAGCTGCAGAATTCAGTAGCAGCAATTCCTGCCTCTTTCCTCCCTCCTGGAGGAGGGATGAGCAGATGAGCAGGAGGGGTGCCACCTCCAACTATCCATGGAAAGGCTGAGGGGAGAGCAGAGTGTGCTGCAGGACCTGAACTGGGAGCACTGTGCCACCAACCCCTACATGGGCAGCACCATGAGCTTTCCCTTTCCCTTTCCCTTTCCCTTTCCCTTTCCCTTTCCCTTTCCCTTTCATTTTTCCTTTTTCCTTTTTCCTTTCCCTTTCCCTTTCCTTTTCCCTTTCCCTTTCCCTTTTGGACCTCTCATTTCTCCTTGGAGAAGACAATCAGTGCAGTGTCACAGTCAGGAGCTGCCCTGCCTTCAGCCCTTGCCCATTTGGATGTCCCTTTCTCAGCTCATCCCTGTCAGAGGGAATTTGGGGAGTTTGTCCCCATCCCCTGCCAGCTCAGATCCTTGGATTCTCCGTAGGATGGGAGAAGTTGTTTCCTCCCCCACACTGACCTTACATCCCCATCAGGGGTTCAGGCTGTGCCCCCTCCACCCCAAAGGGAAATGGGGAGGAAACAGGGACCAGAATGGGATTTTCATGGTGGATCCAGGCAGGCAGAGTTGGCTCCCACCCCGGGGCTGCCCGAGCTCCTCCAAGCCCAGCCAGACCCCCCCCTGCCCCACTGCCGGGCTCTATTCGGGGGCTCTTTTTTGGGGGGCATAAAGCAGGGGACAGAACCAAGGCACCCGCACACCCCAAACATCCCGGAGCCCTGCTGGGGGGACAGCGACAATGCGAGGGAGGTGCGAGCATCACCCCAGGCGGGTCGGCGGGGACAGAGCCCTGTCCTGGGGGGTGGCGAGGCAAGAGTTAAAGGGAAGGCGAGCAGATCCTCCTCCATCCTGCCGGTGCTCGCTGTTAGGCTGCTGCTGTGACAGGGGGTGGGGTCGGGGCTGGCCGCCGTTTGCCGCAAGAAGGGGGGGGAAACGTGGCTGCGAGTGAATGTGAGTGTGTGTGTGTGTGTGTGTGAGTGCGAGTGTTGGTGACACAGGACAAAATGAGATAATGAGACCCCTCGGACGGGAGCGGCCGCCCGGCTGCCACCAGCCCTGATCGCGGCCCCATCGCTGCTGCCCGGCATCCCCGCCAAGAGTAAGGCTGGGAAGCGACTGGGAGCAACTGGGAGAGGGGGGAGGTGGGATGGGGATGGGGATGGGGATGATGATGAAGGGGGGGTCTCCCGGGGGTGGGGTGCACGGAGGGAGAGGTTTGATCTGATTATTATTTGGGGACCTGATGCTGGAGCTTGGCGCGCCCGAACCACCCACCCAGATGTGATTTGGGGAGGGGGGAGGGGAGGAGGATTTTGGGGAGGGGGTGGGGTGGAGGATGGGCTGGCAGCGCCGATTTCGGGTGTGACGGAGGGGAGGGAGCCGTGTTTGTGCCTAAAGTCGCAGCTGCCTGGATTTGGCCCCGCGGGGCCATCGGGATGTGACAGCACCCAAAAATAGAGTGCGAGGCGGGGAGGAGCGGCGAGGGGAGGGGGGGCAGACTCGTGTGCCAGTGCCAGGGCCGGGTTATTCCCCTTCGTCACCTCTCCCTCGCCTTCCCTCATTTATTTCTTTGGTGTCGGGGAGGGGAGCGCTGCCTAGGGCTGGGGGTTGGACCGGAGGCACGCAGGGCTCGCTGGCGGCCGGGTGATTAACGTGCAGTTGCTGGGAATTATGTCATTGCCTCGGTGCTGGGTGGCCCTCGCCCAGCAGCGGCGGTGGGGAGGGACGGAGGGAGGGAGCACGTCATGGCAGGGGGGTCCCCGCCTGAGGCTTCACCCCGGCTCGGCGGGCACGCAGCGTTCCTCCCCATTCCCGCTTGGGACATCCCCTCAGGAGGCTGGGCAGGGATGGAACAGCGGCCCCCAGGCCAGGGGTGCACGCCCACCCCGCTGCTCCTGGGGGTCCCGGGCTCCATCCCCGCGTTGTGGCCGCTTCCCATGGCTCATCCTGCCCGGAGCAGGCGGAGGTGAAGGTGGGCAGCCCCTCTGCCGCCTCCCACCCCGGGAGACCGCGGGGCTGGAGCTGCTGCAGTGCAGCACAGAGCCCCATCCGCGCCCCTGGGTGTGCCCGGGGCGAGCAGGGACCCTCTTTGCCACCCCGTCCCCTCCTCGGAGCAGAGGAGAGAGCCTGGGGACCTGTGGCTGCCAGCGGCCCCCCGGGCCAGATTGGTCCTCTGCTTCAGAGGAGGGTGTTGGGCTGCTGAGTGCTCCTCACGCTCCTGGGCATTCCCTGAGTACCCCCTGGGCATCCCCCTGGACATTCCCTGAGTACCCCCTGAGCATCTCCTGAGCATTCCCTGAGCACCCCCTGAACATCTCCCCTTGAACATCCCCTGAGCACCCCCTGAGCATCCCCTTAGTACCCTCTGAGCATCCCCTGGGCATTCCCCTGAGCATTCCCTGAGTACCCCCTTAGCATCCTCTGAGTACCCCTTGAGCATTCCCTAAGCATCCTCTGAGCATCCCCTGAGCATCCTCCTGGGCATCCCCTGAGCTTCCCCACACCCTGAGTACCCCCTGGGCACCCCCGGATCATCCATCCTCTCCTGAGCACCCCCTGAGCATCCCCTGGGCACCCCCTGGGCACCCCCTGAGCACCCCCTGAGCATTCCCTGAGTACCCTCTGGGCATTCCCCCCTAAGCATCACCTTGAACATCCCCTGAGCACCCCCTGAGTACCCCTTGAGTATCCCCTTGAACACCCCCTGAGCACCCTCTGAGTACCCCTTTAGTATCCCCAGAGCACTCCCATCCCCTTCCCCCCGTGTAGAGCTGGGGAGGGAGCACAAGGCCCTGCCAAGTACAGACCCTGCTGTCCATCCACAACCTCTTCCCTCTGCTCCACACCCCGTGGACCCCGGGCAGCTCCGTGGAGCCCAGGGCAGCTCCATGGATGCCCAGGGCAGCTCCGTGGATCCCAGGGCAGCTCCGTGCTCCACGGCAGAGGCTCGGACAGGGAGAGGATCAGGCCGGAAAGCTGCAGGGAGATGAGCAATGGAGGTGGGAAGGGCGGGCACGGCTCTAGCGGGGCATTTCTGGCATTTTCTGCCCCACAGGAGAAGGGGCGATGCCGACAGCTCCCTGAATTCCAGCTGGGAGCCAGAGGTGCAATGGCAGCCGGGAGATGCCGCTTGCCCCGCGGAATAACCTTTGGCATCTCCCTCCGCTCCCAACACCCTCCGGCACACCCTTCATCCTCAAAGTTGCTCAGGCAGAGGATTGTGCCAGCTCTGAGCCCTCCAGGGAGGTGCTGGCATGACGGGGGAACGCAGGGCACCCCAAATTTGGGGCAGGCAGGGAGCGGGAGGCCGCTCCATCCCCCGGCCGTGCCCTCTCCGGGCGGGCTGGGATTGTTTATGTGTGGCCCTGGTTGGAGCGGCGATCTGGCGTGGCTAAATATAGCAGCGATGCTGTCATCCGAGTTCAGCCTGGCTGGGGAATTTATTTTCTGCAAAGGCTGCGAGGCGAACGGGCTGGGAACAGGCGTGGAAATGCCGGAGCCGTGCGATGGTGCCCTGGCTGCAAGGGCAACGGGCACCTTGTCCCCAGTGTCGTCTTTGTGATGGCAACAGGGCACAGGAGGAGTGGTGGAGGGGCTCAAATTGGCCCTGCTGGTTCGCTGGGGCATTTAAACACAGCGTGGTGCCTGTGTGGCTTCAGTTCTCCATGCAGGGATCCCCTCCTCCTCTTCCTCCTCCTCCTCCTCCAACTCCTCCTTGCTGGCGTCCCTAGGGATCAACTCCCAGCCCTCTCAGATGTAAAAGGAGCATCTGAAAGTCCCGCATGTGGCTGTGGGTATCTGTGAGAGAGCAGCAGCTTGTCCTACAAGAAGTGGGATTGGAGAGCCCTCCATCCCTAGGGGCTGCAGCATCAGCCCCGGGCATCCCCTGCTGCTTCCATCACCATGAAAAGAGCACTTTTGATCACCCATCCCGGGAAAAAACGGGAAAAGAGAGAGAAAGACAGGTCCCCTGACTTGCAAAAACACACCAGGCAGATGGGGAGGGTGTTTTCCACACATGCACTGTGAAAACCACGTTGCATCAGCTGTCGGAGCTCCATGTGGATGGAGCAGGAATGTGGATAAACTGGCTGCAAAAAAAGTTTCTGAATGGAGTTCTATCCCGACAGGGAAGGTTAAGAGTTAAGAGGGTGTTGCTGGAGCTGGTGAAGGGTTTAAAATCTGCTTTCTCCCAGGGCTGTCAGAGAAATCCAGCAAACAAAGGGTGAAACAAGGAGATTTCTTGTTTCCCTTCTCAGAGGATCTTTCCCATTAGTCATTCCTGTCACAGGAACTGGCAAACACGGTTATTATTTGAGGGATCTGAAAGTGAAATGGAGGCACACGAGGCCAGGAGCCCAGACATCCCTGTCCCTGGGTTTGGGGAGCAGGCAGAGACCCCCCAACCCCTGTGGTTCCCCCACACCTCTGCTCCATGCTGGGTAAAGCCTCTGGATTCACCCTCTGGTTGTGGGAGCCCTTTCCAAGGTCTAGGGAGTGGCATCCCTGGTCCTTCCCATCCCAAACCATTCCAGGGTTCCAGCAGGACAAGGTGGCACCAGGAACCATAGGTTGGGATGCTCCATCCTGGAGGTGGTGGTGGACCAAAACCTTGAGATCCTGCAATAATCCTCAAAGCTGCTTCCCCAAAGCACCCAAAACTCAGCTCTTCCATCACCCCACAGCCCCAGGCACCTCCATGGGGGAAAGGACCAGGATGAGCCCCACCATGGGTGGGAGGAAGGTCCAAGGAGCTCCCTGAAGGACAAGGAAAGCAAAGGTAACTGTAAGGCAGCCATCAGGAAATTGGGATGGTTCGTGCCTTGTGATCTGGGCTGGAGCCAAGAGCTGTCCTGGCAGAGGGAGCTGAAGGTCCCCTTGGGCCATGCAGGAGCTGCAGGAGTTCCTGCAGGGCTGCAAGGCTGGGGATCAGGTTCTCAGGGATTGTGGCTGAGTTTCCAGCTCACAAAAATGGGGGTTTGCCATGAAGATGTAAGTCCTGTCGGCTTTTTCTGGTTCCTGAGGCAGAAGGATGAGTTTTGTCTGGGCCCATTATGAGCCTCTCTTTCCTTCAGGGCCAAATCCTGACCACAGGCCAGTGAGAAGCTCCAGAGCCAGCAGATTGGTTTAGACAGGTGTGATCCCAGAATCCCAGACTCACTCAGGCTGGAAAACACCTCTGGGATCACCGAGTACCAACCTTTGACCAAGCATCACCACCCACCAGCCCAAATAAACCAGAGCTTATCCACTCATTCCTTGGGTAATTCCAGGGACTGTGGAATTACCACCACCTCCACCTCCTTGGAAAGCCCTTTCCAATGCGTAGCAACCCTCCCCATGAAGAAATTCTCCCTGATGTCCAACCTGACCCTCCCCTGGCCCTGCCTGAGGCCGTTCCCTCTCCTCCTGTCCCAGTTCCCCCCCTGGCTGTTCCCTCCTGTCAGGAGCTGTGCAGAGCCACAAGGTCCCCCCTGATCTCCCTTTTCTCCAGGTTGAGCCCCTTCCCAGCTCCCTCAGCCTCTCCTGGAGCTCCAGACCTTTCCCCAGCTCTGTTCCCTTCCCTGGATTCTCTCCACTCCCTCCAGCTCTTTCTTGTTTTGGGAGGCCCAGAAGTTTCCCCAGCACTGGAGGTGCCCCAGCAATGCCAGCACAAGGGGCAGGCACTGCCCTGGCCCTGCTGCCACCCCAATTCTGAAAAATTCCAGGTGCCATTGGCCTCCTGCCCACCTGAGCACACCTGGGCTGGTGTCCAGCCCCAGCACCTCCAGCTCCTGTGGCACCAATGGGCAACAGAGCCCGTTCCCTTTGCAGGAAAAAGGCAATCAGATCATTAACACATGCTGCTCTTCACACAACCAACCTCACAAATATTTATCAGCTGGAGAAACACACGGGCTCACAAGTTGCCAAGTAACATAACAAGAGGAGCTTTTAAATAAATATCTGTGCTTCTGTGGGTGAGGAATTAACCAAATCCCTTGGTGTGTGGCCCAAAGAGCTGCTTTCCTCTGGAAGGAGGAAAATAATGATCAGGAATAAAAAGAATGATCCAAAGCAGGAATGAAAACCTGGGATAAGCGGTGACTGTCTGTCTGT